ATGGCGGCTCCCCGCTTATGCAAATGAAGCCCGGGAAATTCAAATCCCGGGCTTCATTTGCAAGTGTGGTATGCCTACATTACCCTCCTAGTTCGAACTAGGAGGGTAGTGTAGATATACCCTATGGGCTTCAATAAGACATTTGGTAAAGTTTCACATGAATTTCTCAATAATAAACTAGGGATATGTAACCTAGATGGGGCTACTATAAGGTGGGTGCATAACTAGTTGGATAACCATACCTAGAGAGTAGTTATTAGTGGTTCACAGTCATGATGGAAGGGCATAACAAGTGGGGTTCTATCCAGATCAGTTTTGGGACCAGTTCCAGTCAATATCTTCAATTATTTAGATAATGGCATAGAGTACACTTACAAAGTTTGCAGACGATATCAATATGGGAAGGGTTACAAGTGTTTTGGAGGATAGGATTATAATTCAAAATTATCTAGACAAACTGGAGAAATGGTCTGAGGTAAATGGGATAAAATCTTATGATGGGGGCTGGAGATGTGGGGGTGCAGGAATCTGGGTTGAGGTATATGAGGGGCTTAGGGCACAGGGCTTGGATGTATGTTTGGCTCAGGGCACACAGTTGGGGTGTGTGAGACAGAGAATAAGACAGAGAATATCTTATTGCCTCTATATAAAATCATGGTATGTCCACATTTTGAATACTGCGTATAGATGTGGTTGCCTCATCTGAAAAAAGATTTATTGCCACTGGAAAAGGTTCAGAAAAGGGCAACAAAAATGATTAGGGGTTTGGAACAGGTCCCATATGAAGAGAGATTAAAAAGACTGGGGCTTTTCATCTTAGAAAAGAGGAGACTAAGAGGGGATATGATAGAGGTCTATAAAATCATGACTGGTGTGGAAAAAGTGAATAAGGAAAAGTTATTTTCTTATTCCCACAATATAAGATCTAGGGGTCACCAAATGAAATGAATAGGCTGCCGGTTTAAAACAAACAAAAATACGTTTTTCTTTGCTCAGCGCACAGTCAACCTGTGGAACTCCTTGCCAGAGGATGTTGTGAAGACAAGGGCTACATCTAGACTACATCCCTTTTTCATAAAAGGGATGTAAATTAGACGTATCGCAATTGCTAATGAAGCAGGGATTTAAAACTCCCCCGCTTCATTAGCATAAAAATGGCTGCCGCTTTTTTTCGGCATGGAGCTTTGCCGGAAAAAAGCACCAGTCTAGACGCTGATCTTGCGGAAAATAAAACCTTTTCCGAAAGATCCCTTATCCCTTATTTCAGAGATGCTTTGTCGATGCAGCTTGCTTTGTCGACAGAACTCAATGTGTCTGGACGCTCTTTGTCGACAGAAGTTTTGTCGACAGATACTGTCAACAAAACTTCTGTCGACAAAACCTGGTAGTCTAGACGTACCCTTGCTCAAATACTCTAACGCAAAGAGTATTAGTGCAAAATCTTGCCAATATAGACGTAGCCTATCTATATAATTCAGCTATTGTTTTCTGCACCATGAAACTAGCCTAAGCACATACAGGACAACTGACACACATCTCAAAGCTACTGCTGATTTCAAAGTAGAAATGAGTCCACCAGAAGGGAAGATTTGTTTATTGAAAGCTTTATGTCACTGGCCTGTAGCTACATTTACTTTTGTTGTTGTTATTCTCCTTACAACCTTCAGCAATAAATGGTGCACTTACAAATAAGTACAGCTAAAATGGGACATACATTTTCTTCAGGGAGTAGCGGGTGAGGGAGGGGAAAAAGAGAAATGTTTATCCCCAGCATTTTAAAAAAATACCTGCATCAGGAGAGGTGCTGAGTGGCTTTCTGGACTTCAAAAGACTGATAGCAAAAGAAAAAAAAGGACTGTGTAGCACTTTAAAGACTAACAAGATGGTTTAATAGCTTTCGTGGGCCAGACCCACTTCCTCAGATCAAATAGTGGAAGAAAATTGTCACAACCATATATACCAAAGGATACAGTTAAAAAGGTTTGAGAAATCATGACCTAGGCAAGTCTTTCTCAGATATAAAACAGGATCTCTTCTTTCTTTTTATAACCATCTCCTACTCCTGAGTGCCTGTTCTTTTTATTCCTTTCGTTGTCTGTGCTATTTTGGTAGATCTACTCTAGATATATATACCATAAGGTTATATGTGCTCTTATTTTGTATTATATATATTATATATGAAATTGTACACAAAGCTATATTAAAGGAATGCTAAGGTTGCAAAGTCAAGCACTCAACATTCAGGAACTGCCTGGATTAAAGTTGTGCTTACCATGCACTTTTGATTTTTTTTAAATACATTCTTTGTTGTGTTTTGTTTCTTTTCTACTGTGCCTTCATGGGACATGGAGGGAAAAGAAGTCAGGAATAGGATTTCAGAATCAGTTTCTGCTCTAAGACTCCACTGTAACATTGAAACCAGTTTGGTTGTGAGAGAGGGTCAGTATTTTGCCACCCAGAGTATGTCTAGACTGTGGGGGGTTTCCGGGATACCTCCGGTATCACAGAAAAACTCCGCCGCATCCAGGGATGCTTTTCTGCTTTTTTTTTGCAGAAGAGCAAACACTCTCTTTCAGGAGCCCAGTGTTCTTTGTTCTACAAGGAAGAAGGGATCTTCCAAAAGAGGGGGATTTTCCGAAATTTGGCCCAGTGTAGAGGGGCCAAATTTCAGAAAAGCCTCTTCCAAGAAAAAATCAGAAAAAGGTGTAGTGTAGACTTACCCCAAGTTGCATGGGATTCTTCAGTAGCAGGTATGATAGTAGAACTGTGAGATTCAAGTTCTTTTTTATAATACTTAAGTGATATTCATATGAGAGTGTCTCCTGTATTTCTAAGATCTGTAAGACAATAAACTAGGGTAAGACAGAAAGTTTCCACTGTATGTCTATTTTTTACCCGCTTCTAACTTTCTAAAAATAAAATAAAACCTTTCCATCTGAAACGTGGCATGTGTAGTCTCTTGGCAAAGGAGTTTACTGGGGAAATCTGACAAGGCTTTATGACTTACATGAGTTAGTGGGGGAGTAGAAAAAGTTTAAGAACAGTTTTTTAGCATTCTTTGGAACATCATCTCTCAAACTTGTTATAGAAATTACGGTGATGTCTAAGTGCTTAGGACTGTATTTTATTGAAGGATGGCTGGGTAATTTTTGTGAATATTCAAATCTAAGAGAATTTCATGAGATCCCAGTGGAGTTTATAAACTTTTAACTGGAGTTGTGGTGTTTATAAACTGTATAGACCACTATGCTTGTAACCTCCATTATCTAAAGATGGCCCTAAACTACAAAATTTGCATCCAGATCTCCAAAATTCAGAGGTGTTAGAATTCAAGCCTTATTTCCACCTGTCATAGAGGAGGAGATAGCAATGAAATTCAACCATAAATCCACTTTTGGATTCTGAACCTCAACCGCTACAAAACTTATGAATGTTTGAAATTGGGGCATCAGTTTAAGCCTAGTCATTGCTGCTATATACCAAAGAGTTTTAATTTGTGGAGATTAAAACTACAGAAAAAAAATCTATAGTATGTAAATGCTATACTCCAAATAGTTTGGGGAAAAAACTGTAGAAGGATTGCAGATACAACTAGCAAAAGTATGGCAGCCAACAACCTTAGATTGAAATACTGTAGCAATTTACTACTACAAAACATTCAAAATTCACCTTCATTACAGAGTTGAAAAAGCATGTAAAATTAATTTATTTGTTAATTAATTTATTCATATGTAGTCTGCAAGATTATTACTACAGAGTTTACAAGGACTGCAAGTACAGCCTGTCCTATAAAAACTTTGCAGGATTAGCTTGTGGGCTTTCTGAATTTTCTGCCCACTGACACGGAGTTTGCAAATTTGGTAACATAATCTAGAAGCATTCCCTTCAACAGGGGAGGGTGATAATTTTTGCCCGGGGGCCACTTAAAAATTTTTTAAAGTAGCCCCGGGCTCACCGTAAGGGGTGGGGTCTAAACAGGAAGGGGTGAAGCCTAAATGGAGAGGGGAGGGGCTACTCCCCTTTGCTCCCCCTTTCCACTAGGTACCCATGCCCTGGAAGAGGCTTGGCATGCTCCCCCACCCCCAGGCCAATCAGGGCATAGTGGTGGGGGAGCGCAGGAAGCCTCCTCCCACCCTGAGAGAAGCACATGGCACTTTGAAATGTGGTGGGCTCCTCGCAGGGATGGGGCAGGTCGAAGGAAGCTTCACACAACTCCCCCGTCCCCAGGCCCTGATTGGCCTGGGGGCAGGGGAGCGTGCAAAGCCTCCTCTGCTCTCCCCCCCCCCCCTCCCACCCTAAGAGCAGGGCAGGGGCAGAGCAAAGAAGGCTTCGGATGCTCCCTGCCCCCAGGTCCTAATTGACCTGGGAACAGGGGAGCAGCAGGGCCTCCACAAGCCGGATCCGACAGATCCAGTCCACAGCGGCCCTTTTGCCCAGCCCTGCCCTACAGCATTTAAATACTACATTCCTTTCTGACCACTACTGATTTCTGTGGACAGGAGTAATGCCTTAAGTAATGCCCCTTGCAAGGCCCTGTCTCTGTCTGAAAGCCTTGAAAGAACCAAAAGGTAACATCTCTAATGTAAATATATTATTGAATTATTCTTTTGTTTCATGACTCAAATGTAGACATTCTTTGGGAAAGTAGAGGGAAATAATGACATTCATGAGCAAGTCCATTCAGGGCTCCTGCAACTCCCTAGAATCACAGGCCAGCTGGCAAATTTGACATCTAAATCATGTTTAGGACTCAGAGTTCACAATACCCACCAATGGAGAGCTGACTTCATAATTTCCAGTTATCCTTCCTGTCAGAATTTACAGGGTTTTCCAGCTCTGTCAGAAAATGGGTTGAATTTTTAATCATAGAACTCTACAATTGGAAGGGACCTTGAGAGGTCATCAAATCCAGTTCCCTGCCCTCATGGCAGGAACCACTACCATCTAACCTGCTCTTAAATAGCTACAGAGATGGAGATTCCATAACCTCCCTAGGCAACTTATTCTAGTGTTTAAACAACCTGACAGTTAGGAAGTTTTTCCTATTGTCCTGCCTAAACCTCCCTTGCTGCAGTTTAAGCCCACTGCCTCTTGTCCTATCCTCAGAGGCTAAGGAGAACAATTTTTCTACCTTCTCCTTGTGACACCCTTTTAGATACCTGAAAACTGCTATCATGTCCCCTCTCAGTCTTCTCCTTTCCAAACTAAACATGCCCAGTTCTTTCTGTCTTCCTTCATAGGTCATGTTCTCTAGACCTTTAATCATTCTTGTTGCTCTTCTCTGGACCTTCTCCAATTTCTCCACATCTTTCTTGAAATGTGGTGCCCAGAACTGGTCACAATACTCCAATTGAGGCCTAATCAGCGCAGAGTAGAACAGAAGAATGACTTCTCGTGTCTTGCTCACAAAACTCCTGTTAATACATCCCAGAACCAAGTTTGCTTTTTTTTGCAACAGTGTCACAATGTTGACTCATATTTAGCTTGTGGTCCACTATGACCCCTAGATTCCTTTCTGCAGTACTCTATCTTAGACGTCAGTTCCCATTCTGTATGTGTGAAACTGATTGTTCCTTCCTAAGTAGGGCATTTTGAATTTGTCTTTATTAAACTTCATCCTGTTTACCTCAGACCATTTCTCAAGTTTGTGTAGATCATTTTGAATTACAACCCTATCCTCCACAACAGCTGCAAACCTTCCCAGCTTGGGATCATAAAGAATCTGTTATCATTACATTATCTTTTATTTTGGCTATTAATGCTTTCTTTGCGTTACCTTTTTGAATTTTAGTTATATTATTTTTATGACAAGAGTTTTGATCCGTGCCGCGCGGCTACACGCGGCACGGACTAGGTAGTTCGGACTAGGCTTCCTATTCCGAACTACCGTTACTCCTCGTGAACTACCTCGTGAACTCATGAACTCATGAACTACCTCGTGAATTCGTGAACTCCTCGTGAACTCCTCGAGGAGTAACGGTAGTTCAGATTAGGAAGCCTAGTCCGAACTACCTAGTCCGTGTCGCGTGTGGCCGCGCGGCACGGAGTCCGCACTAGCGGACATTTAAAAATGGCGGCGCCTGGCGAGATGCAAATGAAGCCCAGGAAATTCAAATCCTGGGCTTCATTTGCAACTCCGGTTGCCTACATTACCACCCTAGTTCGAACTAGGGTGGTAGTGTAGACATACCCTCACAGCTTGGTATCATCTGCAAACTTAATAAGCATACTCTTTGTGCTTCATCTAAATCATTGATGAAGATATTGAACAGAACTGGCCCCAAAACAAACCCCTGAAGAACTCCACTTGTTGTGCCCTTCCAGCATGACCTTAAATCATTAATAACTACTCTGTGAATGGTTATCCAGCCAGTTATGCACCCACATTATAGTAGCCCCATCTAAGTTGTATTTGACTAGTTTATTGATAATATGATCATGTGAGATCTTATCAAATGCCTTACTAAAGTCTAGGTATACCATGTCCACTGCTTCTCCCTTATCCACAAGACTCATTATCCTATCAAAGAAAGCTATCAGATTGGTTTGACATAATTTGTTCTTTACAAATCCATGCTGGCTGTTACCTATCAGCTTATTATCTTCCAGGTGTTTGGAGATTAATTCCTTAATTACTTGCTTCATTATCTTTCCTGGCACATAAGTTAAACTGACTGGCCCGTAATTTCCTGGGTTGTTCTTATTTCCCTTTTATAGATGGGCACTATATTTGTCCATTTCCAGTCTTCTGGAATCTCTCCTGTCCGCCATGATTTTTCAAAGATGATAGCTAAAGGCTCAGATACCTCCTCTCTCTGCTCCTTGAGTATTCTAGGATGCATTTCATCAGGCCCTGGTGATTAATGATTAATTTAACAGTCCATGAAAAGTACAAGAACTTTTATAAATGTAGTTGCAAGCACATTATCCAAGGGATCCTGTAGTGTAGTATCTTCTACAATAAACGGAGAACATTTGCTGAAAATGTTTAAAATCAAGGCTCATACAGGTTACAAGCACTGCTAGGAAACCAGGAACATTTGTAATTCAGGAGTCCCACTTATATACTGTGCTAGCAGATCTTGTAATTCCCACAAACCATAGTTGTTTGTCTGAAAGTCTTTTATCAGCTTCACAGTTGGAGCTTCAGCTCATAGAACTCAAAGATATTATCAGTTCAAGCTACTGTAGCTTCTAATTTTTGTGAATCCAATATCTATTACTCTGAGACTTCCATCTCTGCTGATGGAACAGCCACCTCACATGACTCCCATGAAACCAGGAGCTAGGATCAAGGAACTTACAAACTCCTCAAGGCAGGAACTTGTACATTCAGTTAGACAAATACCTAGTGTTCATGGAAATTTGCCAAGTCCTTTGAAAAACTAATTACAGTTCATGACATTTACAACTTTTAACTGCTGGAACTACAGTGAGGTCCATTGCATAGGATACAGTGCTGGGAATTGCATACGAGTTATATTCTTGGCTGGGTTTGTGGAAGAGAATATAAATTTCACAGTCCATGAAAAGTACAAGAACTTTTAGCGATGTAGCTGAATGCACACTCTCTCTAGAGATTTCAAACATTGCAGTTTCAACCATGTGTCCAAAGTATATGATAAACCTGTTTGTGGATCTCTTTTCACAAGTAGCATGGCAATGATTATGGCCTACCTTAGGCATCTCACACAAGGTACAAAGGCACCAACACAGCAGGAACCTGATTAGGGTAGGGAATAGTTCCAACCTCATGGCTGCTCCCAAAGCTTTGATAAAAGGTAAATTTGATCCTTAGTTCAAGATCTAATTGCCCACAACAGACTGATTTGGCCTT